GCTTATTAGAGAAGGGGTGCTTATTAGAGAGGGGGTGCTTATCAGAGAGGGGGTGCTTATTACAGAGGAAGTGCTTATCACCTCCTTTCTAAAGAGGTAATTGTTCCACTGGAATAATGGTATTTGTAAGAGTCATCAATTCGGTGTCAATTCCACAATTTATTTGATCTGATCAACTACACTCAGCACCCTGCTTGAATACAATACCATATGAGAAATCCTTACAAACAAGCAAGTGTCCAAGTCCATGACCTTAAAAATTGCAACAATATCCATAATGATTCCGTAATGTTCTATTCCTTCAATGTAAGTCCAGTTAAAAGATCATCCGAAGAATAAAGGCAAAAATAACAAGCAATAAAAACACACGTGCACTGAGGTTTGACCTTAGTGTTGAATGACAAAACCTTGGCAGAGAGAGGGCCTAGTGCACAGGAAACCTAACATTTACAGTATTAAAAGATTAAATTTGGACAGATAGTTCAGATTACATTTGATGATTGAGTATGAAAGACACTAAACAGCTAGTTGAAAATAATTACTAATCATGTTCATGGGAAGTTTCTAGAAAGGTAATGAAACCTTTCCCATCCTTGCCTTGAACATAAAGACACCTGTTGATAACATCACCACATTTCACATGCAAGAGACTTTTGCTTTCTTGAATGTATAAAATGTTGACAATTACATTTTGATGAACAATTTCCTTCAGGACTACATCCTGTGGTGAAGGAAGGTCTAGGCAAACAATCAATCCATTCAAGCCATACTCTGTGATCAATGCATAGGCAACATTTTAGAAGAGGAAGTAGCAAACCACTCTACCACTGCATTTCCTCCCATGTGCACAAAACTGGACAAGGTAGCTGCACGAATTTCCTTTTCTAGGATACATCATGCTGTGGAAGGTGACATGATCTTTTGTCATCCTATAGGAAACCAAGTATTCTGGGACAGGACCACTTCCAAATGCTGTAAAAAAGACATTTTGAAACTGTGTCAGCATTTCAAAGTGCACAGGTTCATACAGCAGGATTCTCCCTTCTGTATACTAAACATGCACCTTGTAGGTTTGGCTTACTCCTAGTTTTTCCACCATTTAATTTCTTTGGGAGTCCCCTAGTTCCAGAGAACTGATTTACAAGGTGAGCGATAAATGCTTCAAATACAAAAGCAGAAGTAAGTGCTAAGGAACCATGGCTGGAAAGAGAAGTGGAATTAAGCATGGGAGTTGTATGAACACTCTTCAATACCATAAAGACTTGGTAAAAGTTTCACAAAGTTATCAACCAAAACTTGAGCCTCCTCTACACAAGGTTTGGAAATAGGAACTGAGTGCAGGAAATGAAGAGCAGTATAGTGCAAAGTGATAAAAGTGGTCTGTGCCAAATTCATCAGAAAGTACAGCATATTGAGGACATGGCAGTCCAGCAAAGAGGGCAAACAAACGAAATTCTGATGCTTTCCAGTGTTTTAATTCAGCAATACTACATGGCTTTCTGGTAAAGTCATGTGGCACTTTGATAGAAAGGAACATGTTGTCTAGCTCATGACTAATTCCTAGCAAACTGTTTGAATCTGCAGCATACTGAAGATTGAACCACCATTTGAATAGCTGCATGTCTTTTCAGGATGCCTTTGCAAACACAATGCATCCAGTCAATAGGTAAATTGTCTGGAATGTCAGTCAATTGACAAAACACATTTTCTCCTTTAATGCCAAACACTGTGGTGCCTCTTGCCTCCACAATTCTCCCAAACATCCTGCTTGATATTATTTCAAAGCAAGGCTTTGGCAGGCAGGTGTGGTATAACAGATTGGATTTTGCACACTGATGACACAAGTTCACATGTTTCATTGTTAAAATTACTACCATTTGCCATATTGAATAATTCACCGGTAAAATGTTTCAAAAATGGTGGCACATGTGGTTTAGACTTCCCATGCCACAGTCCAGTAAGTAGGATGTTTTCAAATTTGTATCTTTCTTGGGGAGGTAACTCCACAAGAAAACAAATAAGTGGCTTCTTAAACTTCTTGGACTTAATCAAGGGTGCCCCATCAGTGCTAACTACAATTAAAAGTGCTTTCTTTCCTCTGGCACAAGGGTCATGCTGGATGAATTTTTGGTACACTCTACCATTCTGTATGTCTCTTATGCAGTCTTCAGCTGGCAATTGTGCCTTAACCATTCTATAGTCTTTAATAAATTGCCAGTGTTCTGAAAATATATTATGAGGGAACAGTTTTAACTTTCCTTTACAACTTTGTAAGAGAATGATGAAAAAAAAATTATTATATTAGTATGTGTGAAGCAGAAAGGGCTCTGTCATCAATAGAAGTAGTTTCAAGCAGATGTCTGCACAGAAGATGGACAATTTTTTTAACAAATGGAAAACCTTTTGCAGGGTAGAAGAACTCCCCATGAAGTGAGACTCACCTAATAATATCCTTTTTCTCTTTCTGAAGTTTGTGATCCTCTTCAGATTCTTGCTTCCCTCATTTCTGTTATCAGAAGGTTCAATGAGTTATTAAAATAATAACAATAATAATGATGATAATAATCACTGACCACTTCCCCAGTAGGGCTTCTCAGGGCCAATTCACACAAATTGTAAATAAACATTGCAAAAACAAAGATCCCAACTAGTCATGGGGCAGACCAGTAAGCTTTTTACAAGCACAGCTTCGGAGTTAAACTTAGGGCAACCAAAAACAAAACAGTGAGTATTGGGGTGAAGAGCTGAACCTGAGACCACAAGACTAGTCCAGTGCCCTAACCACTCAACCACAATGCCTCCAAAATTTAATGCTCATAAAATTCACATGCATGTCATAGCAGCAATAATATTCCATATATTTTTTTGAAGATACCAGCTTTTAGTAGTAAAATGAAGGCATAATGAAAACAACAAAGATCATCGGCAGACTTTTTTAGAACCCATTTAATTACTGGGAATAAACTGAGTCTGATTGAGCACTAGTATTTAACAACCTTTTAATCAAAATGACATTGTCAATATGTCAGTTAAGTCACGTTATTATATTTTACTCTATCATTCCTCATCTCTGGGTACTTCTCCTAGTTTTACACTTATTAAAAAAAAAAAGAATGATATCAACTGGTCATTCTCAACAGTGATTTAGCTTTATTTAATCAAATACGGATCACATAACCAACATTCTAGTCCAACAGATTACCCATGAATTTTCATTTTTACCTGCAGGATGTAGCTTCCTTAAAAAAGGTTTATACAAATCCAGTATGTTGTCTGCTGAGGGTAGGTCATCTCAGCATCATCACTTCAATCTGCCTCTAAAAGTATCAGCATTTAATTGTCTCATGCTGTGTAAAAGAGTCACTCAAATAACTGGATTAATTTGGCCATTTCTTACCCCATTATAAATACATACCTGGTTTTTAGAGCCAATTGGACCAAGGGAAAACACAAACAAACTTAAGAAAAGATAGAAAATGAAAACTAAACCAGAAAAAAATAACAGGAATTAAATGTTCATTTAACATAAAAATCACAAATTCTTGATTTTGAAAGAAGTTTTACAAATTAAGGTTCATTTAGTTTCTTCTCAAATTAATTTTCCACACTACACAGTTTATTAATAACAAACATTCTTAAGTCTCTTTGTCTACATGAAAGTGTTCCAGTGGACACTGAAACATGCTATGGGATAACTGATTATGAAACTTATTGCAAAAGATTAACTTTGGTGAGGTCTTGCAAAAGCAAGAGAAATTACAATTTCTGCCTTCTAATTTAAAATTTCTGGGGAGACCACTTGATGCCTGCAGAGCACAACTGAAACTCATAGGTTTCTCAATGTCTAACTTAGCTAAATTAAAAATCCGATAAGACAAATTGGCCAATTTACATTTAAATGCTACTGAGGTCAACTTTGAAGATCCCAATCAAAAATTTGAATTTTGTAAAAAGTCCTATAAATACAATCTCCTTCCAAACATAGCCATGCCTACTGATGTACATGGAAAATACATTTTGCATCTACGTCAATCTATATACTGAAGGTCACAGTTAATATTATCGATTTCCCGCCTTACTTCCTGACCAATATTGAAGAATGTAACACGACTTGGATCACGCTATATTTCAAAGAGAGGATTTTTAATGTTCAAAATAATCGCTTCCATTTCGTGGTGTTTGTTGTGACTAACGAAAACAAAACAAAAAAAATCGAAGGGTTGGTGCATGTTAGGGTAGTTCATTTGAGTTATCCAACGGGGTTAAGTCCAACGGACTGGAGCTCATTGTTTTGTCCATCACCCCATTCCTTGGTGATCAGTGCAACATTTGTTAAAACATGAGTAAGAAACGTTCCTATGTAATAACATACATTTCATAGACACTGAATCGGTTAAATTTGCGCAACTTTACAGCTGATGTGGACCTGCCTAAACTAATTAGTCTATAATTATATAAAATACAGATATGATAAAATTTATAAGTTGAATAAATCAAGTAAACCATAAAGTTTTAGTAATAGTGAAAATTTGGTTTCATGTTTTGTATAACATTACCTCCCTTTTCAAAATTAATATTCATAACAGTTTGCTTGGATTGTTTTAAGTTATATTTAAAAATAGATAAATTTGGAGAATCTTTAACATTATCGGGAAGTGCATTCCATGCTACTGCAGATCTATGAGCAAAGGACCTACGACCCAATTCGGTTTTGGGCCTATTAAGTACAACATTCAGGGATTTCCTTAGGTTATAACTGTTAGAGTTCTTGGTCACCAAACAATTAATTTCCCGCAACCCTAAATTATAATAAGCATTATATGTAATAGTTAAGATACGTAGCTTATAAAAATACTCTAAAGGCATCCAGCCAACCTTAGAAAGTACATCATTATCCCCAAAACTATTTGGTATCTTATGAATTAGCCTGGCAGCCCTGATGTGAATCATTTCTAGATCTTTAAGCTTGGATCCAGACCCCCAAATTGCAATTCCATATA